AAACATACAACAAAGTGACTAGATCTAAGAGCTCTGATGCTATTTTAGCCTTGTTGAGATGTGTGGAGCTGATAGACGTTTCCATTGAAGTAGCTATGGCCACTGCAGATGGAAGAGCATTAACAGCTGTTCCTCCTCCTGGGGGTGTTGTGAGAGTTGGGGTTTCCTGTCAACAGTGTCTATCAAACACTTCAGTTGATCAATTATTTTTCGTTCTAGATCTTTATGCATACTTCGGAAAAGTTACTGAAAAGATAGCCCTTGCTGGAAAGAAAAATCGACCAAAAGAAGGTATGAGTAACTTGCTGGTTGGAAAGCTTGTGGCTAAGGTACCAAGTGATACTGCTGTCAGTTTATTGGTCAGGAACCTTCAGCTTAGATTTCTGGAGTCTTCTTCCACAATTGTTGAGGAACTGCCACTTGTTCAATTTATTGGCAACGATTTGTTCATCAAAGTTTCTCACAGAATGCTTGGTGGTGCTGTTGCTATTTCATCCACACTACGATGGGATAATGTTGAAGTGGATTGTGTAGACACGGAAGGAAATATTGCATATGGCAATGGAACCGTTTCCACTTCAATTGAAAATGGTTCTCTTATGAATGGGAGTGGATTATCTCAACTAAGAGCAATCCTTTGGGTAGATAACAAAAGGGATAGACTTACAAATTCGTTTCTTGATGTTAGCATCGTGCATGTGATTCCCTTAAATGAGCGGGACATGGAGTGTCATAGTTTGAATGTGTCAGCTTGTATTGCTGGTGTGCGCCTAAGTGGAGGAATGAACTACGCTGAAGCCTTGCTGCATCGATTTGGAATTCTTGGTCCTGATGGGGGTCCTGGAAAGGGTCTGATGAAAGGACTGGAGAATTTACGGGCTGGGCCACTTGCTAAACTTTTTAAAACTTCACCTCTTCTTGCTGACAGTTTCGAAGGTACAGGAACTTGAAATATGTTGGCTGTTTTAGAATTACATTTTTCATGCACACCAATTTTAATCTTTGACTTTAAGGATGCATGTTATCTTCTGTTCTCGTCACAGAAGTTTCCTTTGGTATCTGTCTCCCTTAAATTATTTTGGAACAAAATTTTTACGATCTACAAGTTCCAATTTTCTGTGCGGATTTTCAGGAGATGGGAAAGAAGGTCCTCTATTGCAATTAAGAAAGGCAGATGATGTGGACGTTTCCATAGTTCTTAAAAATTGGTTATTTGCACTTGAAGGTGCAGAGGAAATGACAGAAAGATCGTGGCTTTATGATTCTAACAATGTTGGCAGAGAAGAGAGGTGTTGGCACACTTCTTTCCAGATCTTCCGAGTAAAAGCGCAGAGTAGACCAAAGGATCTACTTAATGGCAAAGGAAAATCATGTGGAGCTCAACAATATCCCGTGGAGTTGGTGACAGTAAGCAAACGACCCCCCACCAAACAGAATAATTGAAATTACATAAATTAATTTATACTAACTAATTAGCAACTTGCAGTTTTTTTCCCGTGCTTCTGATTTTATTGAACCATTCTTTTTTGGACTTTCTCTACGCTTTTGTTTAAGTCACATACCATATGCATGAGCTTGAAATATTTGAGTCAAATTTAGGTCAGCGTAGAAGGCCTGCAAACATTGAAGCCCCAGGTTCAAAAGAACACCCACCATACTGTTTCTCTCCTCAATGGGGTTAATGAAATGGTCGAGCCACTTGGAGGGATAAATCTCGAAGCTCGCATGGTGGTGTCTGAGGATGCTGTTGACGTTGAGATGGCCAACTGGATTATGGAAAACTTGAAGTTCTCTGTCAGGCATCCGGTATTTGACAATCAATTTTCTTTGTGTTCAACTTCATCTGTTTTACTTAGGAACCCATTTCACACATGTTATTCCATGATAGATTGAGGCCGTTGTTACAAAGAATGAGCTGCAACATATTGCCTTACTATTCAAGTCGGAAGTTGATTCAATGGGTCGAATTGCTGCTGGAATTCTTAAGCTACTAAAGCTGGAGGGTTCTATTGGTCAAGCCACCTTAGATCAGCTGAACAACCTTGGTATGTCAGTTTGCTAAGTGATGTATCTCAACGCCATAAATTACTAGGTTCTTGAAAAGTTCTCTGCTTCTGTTGCGATAGAAGACTATTATATTAACCTTACGATTAACTAATTCCCTGGGCCTCCTTTTGTTTCATTTATTTTTTACCTTGAGAAGAGAGTATCCACTAAGTTGACACAATTAGTCACGTTTCAAATTTCAATACTGGAATTTACACTCCAATCGGGTTTTGTGCACATGATGAACTACTCATTCTAGGTCACATAAACAGCAACAAATATTTACTGGTTGATGCTTAATTTCAGGAAGTGGGAGCATTGACAAGATCTTCGTTCCAGAAAAGCTTAGCAGGGGAGGAAGTAGTGCGGCCAGTTTGGGGATCTCTCCTTCGGCATATTTGATTGGGGCAAGCCCAAGACCAACCGCAGAATCTACAGTGACTTCCCTGGAGCAGGCTGTTCTTGATTCCCAATCTAAATGCACTTCTCTCATGACTGAACTCAGTAGTTCAGATTCGGCATTACATGTTGCAACTATTAAACAACTCTACGAGAAACTTGATAGCATGCAGACTTTACTGTCAAGATTGCGGAATCAAATCTGATTTGAATCTGCTGTTGTCTCGCTTTCCCATGGCTTTATGCAATTGGAGGTTACTGTGAAGTGACCAATATTTACTCACGGTCTGTGGAACCTGTAGTTTCCCTGCTCGTTTCCCCTGCAACTCACGGGGCAATTCAAAAATTGTGTATTTGAAGATAAAAAGAGGTAATTTCCCATTCATATAGTCACCATTCTTTCTCCAGTATATACACATATATAGATATGTATAGGAATTCAAGTTGAGTGCATGTAATATAGTTCGGAAGAAATGATAACATTTCATTTTTGTAGACTTGGATTCTTCACTTAAAAGTGAGGACTTTTGTACATGATTTTGCTATGAAAGATATATGATGCTCCATGTAAAAAGTTCGTTGCTTCATTTGATTGGTGTCTTAGTTGTCGATATGTGCCTTGATAATTTTGGCTTCCCTATTAGAATTCAGTTATGTAACATTGTATTGTCCATTAGTAGAATGACCAATTGTAAACTTAATTCTTTCAACGTTTGTTTTGGGTACAAACTTTGGTCCTACGTTTGATTCTCATGTCCTGGTAAATTTTCTTACTAAATATTCTAGGCAAAATTTGTCTATTCATTGATCATGAACGAGATAATTTGACATGTTCAAAATCATCCAAAACATGCATCATCAGCATGAGTTTTTAGATTGGGTTTATGAAACAGTATAAATCTGAATGAGTTTGACCTTATTTTCAGATGTATGCTCCAATTAAAGTCAAAGGTCCATACATTTGTTATTATTTTATTTTGACATGGAAGAGGGCTATCTAACATTCCTACATACAGGCATGAAATGTTGAATCATGACCACTGACAGACTAGAAGTTTGGTTTGGTCATCTTATCAAGTTGAAGTTTAAAGAGGTTGGTCGAACGTATCGACCAAAAGGTATTATAAAAGATATGCATCAAACCTTTGGTGACAACTTTGAGTTTAGACAAGGTAAGGTGGCAAAATAAGTAATGTTAGTTTTTGTTAGGGTCACCATAAGAGTCTTACAACTTGTTATTGGGATTGAGAATTTAAGTATGATAATGTTGAAGCCTGTTGGAGTCCTAAATTGGCTAATTAAAGAGAAGATCGTGAATATATAAGTAAGAGACACTATCTCTATTGGTATGAGTCATTTTAGGAAAACAAAGAATAAAATAAGTTCTATCATATTAATGTGGATGTTGGTTGCTTATCAAATGATGCTTTAAGGATTCTTTTATGGCCATTAAGTGATTCTATCCTAGAGTTTTTGAGTTACATTTGTCCATTGTTAATCGTAGATGAAATTCACTAAAGGAAAGTATGATGGCAAGCTTTTACTTGCAGATTTTAACGGTAACAATAAAATATATCTAGTTTACTTTGGGATTGCTAATGACCATTATTTTTTTTTTACAAATAGAGCAAGAAAAAAGTAAAATACCTACTTTGTTCGTTATTTCTAATGGACACTCGAGCATTTGAAAAGTCATAAGAACAATGTTTTTTTGCTGCATTCCTTTGTATATGTATTGACGTTTCGGCCAGTTGCACCAATCCTTCCTATCTTCAAATCCAATCCAAAATTTTAGTGTGTTAAAAAAAAGTTGCACCAAATCCATCCTATCTTCAAATCCAATCCAAAATTTTAGTAGGTTAAAGAAAAAAACTCGTGGGTCCAAATGCGGAAATTCAAAACTAAGGTCGGTAGCACCTCATTCAAGAAGATATTTTTTATTACAACTCTGAAAACTTCTAGTTAAAATTCAACATGGCAATTGCAACAGTAGTGCAAACTTTATCTATAAATAAGAAGTTTTACTTTACCTATAAATAAGAAGTTTTTGGATTTTTCCTCTAGCGTGTGTTTTTCCTCTATTAAATCAGTCCCTAGCTTTTCTTTAATTCACCATATTTAAGTTTAATGAAGAAATTAAGGGGAGAAAGTCACTGTACCTATTATAAGCTTTGTGTTACACTTATGGTTAGCCTTTGATTTTCCCGTAATTAGAAAACTACCCTAAATCAAGATAAACTCTAAATTCATCCTCAAGAAGCTACCTAAAAAATGGATGCTACCTCACGATAAACTTTAGGTAGCTTTTGATTTTCAAGTAATCAATATCCTTGATTTAAGTCAATACAAATTGAATGTATAAGATACACTTACTCACCTGTTTCTATATGGACGATATAGATCAAGTTGTTTACAACAAGTACAAAGTGAATCCTATCAACAATATTTTTAAGATAAAACACCCAACCTCTTTCATGTACTATAGACTTTTAAGTTATTGGTTGATATAATCCATCCGAAAATATATTTTAATGTAAAAGGAAGGAGTACAAAAAAGTATCCAACAAACAAATAAGCTTATCCACTCTGTTTCCCTCTGTTGCTCTGCTTCATTACACCATGGCTTGTTTACATCTCCACATCCTGTGTGCCCCAAACCCCCTTCTTCTTCTTCCTCAATCTCAGCCCACTTTCACAAACCCATTACAAATTACACCCAAACGCCGCCTCTCACTCAAATGCAGCTCAGAATCCTCCGAATCCGACCCCAATTTCCCATCCCCAGATCCCGACTTCGGCGCCCTAAACCAACCAGAGAGCTTCCCAGTCGAGAAGCGGAGGAGATCCGAAATAGTCCGCCAAAGAAGACCCTCAAAGGAAATCGTGAAGCCGGAGCCACCCAACTTCGAAATTGGGTGGAAGAGGACCAAAGAGATCAATTTGGAGAAGCCGGTGGGGTGGATGATAATGGACTTTCTGGAGAAGCTGGAAGAGCTAATGGAGAGGGAGTTTGGGTCGACGGAGTTGCTTGCCAAAGTGGGAGAGATTGTAGCGGAGAGGGCGAGAGAGGAGGCGGAGATCTTGCTAGACGACGGCAAAGTGGAGGACAGAATGGTTACAGAGCTGTTTAGGGTGTTGAAGTTGATGGAGATGGATTTGGCTATGGTCAAGGCGGCTGTCCAAGATGAGACCTTGACTCAGCGCCTTGCTCAGGCCAAAGCAAGGTGCAGGCAAGCTATACTTGTTGCTAATTCTTTCTGAATAATACCGCTTCATTCTTTGTGTGGCTTTAGTTTAGATAATGCTCTAAATCGAGCTATTTTTTGTTTTTTTTGGAGTTAAAATAAGACTCACTAATTTGTGAAGTAATCTCACACACTAGCGATAGAACGCTCCGTAACATTTTGTGAAAGTACTACTCGCATACTTGTGAAGGAGATGTCGAGAGAAGAGAGATAAGGAGACAACGAACACTGATTTTATCAAAAACCTTTTCTATTGCTTCGTATTTGTTTGCTCTATGTGTGTTTTGCTCTGACTGTACCGTATAATGATTATGTATTTATAATTTTTCTAAAACTAATAATAAGGTGAGAGAAATGCTATAATAGCTGTGCTCTTTTTTTGTTTTTTCAAATTAACTTTCCTAACAAATTAACTCCATTCTACCAAGTTTATTTCAACAAAAACTCTCCTATAAACGTAGATGCTCATACCATCTCTCATGCCAATCATCTTCTTGTATTTATCGAAAAGTAATTTCGGTAGCGGTTTTGTAAAGATATCCGCCACTTGATCCTAACTTGCCACATGCAGCAATTCCACACTTCCTTCCTTCACATGATCTCGAATAAAGTGAAATTGAACGTCAATGTGTTTGCTTCTTCCATGGTTCACTGGATTCTTTGCCAACTCAATTGCTGATTTGTTGTCAACTTGAATCACGGTTGCACCCCGTTACTTTAGCTCCATCTTGCTCAACAAATTTCTACGTCATATCGCGTGACACACACCAAGATGCTGCCACATACTTAGCTTCACATGTTGTGAGAGTGTCACAATCGGTTGTTTCTTTGAAAGCCAAGTAAATGCTGTGTTGCCCATGAAAAATACATAGCCCGATGTACTTTTTCGATCATCTATGTCTCTGCACCAATCACTGTCAGAGTAACCAACTAATTTGTAATCTTCTGTTTTCAAGTAGAATAACTCAAGTGACACCGTTCCTTGGATGTACCGTAGGACTCGCTTCAACGCCTTCCAATTTGCATCTACTCGTTCTCCTTCATCGTACTTTGAGAGTTTTACACCTGGTTCCATTGGTGTTGATACCGGGTTGCAATTTTCCATCTTGTACTTCAAAATCTCATCTGCATATTTCTCCTGTGATATAAAAAATACCCATCTCTCTTTGTTTAACCTCCAAACCAAGGAAAAACTTCAACAAGCCCAAGTTTGTCATCTCAAATTCTCATGTCATTGTGCTTTTGAACTCTTCTATCATTTCATCATTGTTGCCTGAAAAGATAAGGTCATCGACATAAAGAGCAACAAGTATCACATTACTTCCACTCTTCTTTGTGTAAAGTGCATGCTCGTGGGAACATTGCTTGTACTAGTTCTCTTTGAAGTATGTATTGATACGAGTATTCCATGCTCGCGGTGCTTGCTTCAACCCGTAAAGCGCCTTCTTCAATTTTAGTATCTTCTTCTCTTCTCCAATTTTCATGTATTCGGGTGGTTATTTGAGGTAGACTTCTTCAAGTACACCATTCAAGAATGCCGACTTGACATCTATTTGAAAAATCGGCCATTTGAATTGAGCTACTTGGGAAATAAGTAATCGGATTATCTCCATTCTAGTGACGGGAGCAAACACTTCGTCATAGTCGATTCCCGCCTTTTGCTTGTATCCCTTCGCAACAAGTCGCACCTTCTACCACTCAATCTTGCCTTGAGCATTCATCTTTTTCTTGAATACCCACTTCATACCTATGGGCTGACTTCCTTCCGGCAATTTTGTCACCTCCCATATATTGTTGCGATGAATCGCTTTAATCTCCTCATCTATGGCAGTTTGCCACTTCTTGTCTCGCACCGCCTCTTCAAAGCTGATATTTTCAGCATCTGCCAGAAGACATACAAGGTGTACCTCATTTTTTGAATCATACAAGTCTTGCAAACTTCACATTTTGGGTTGTCGTGGTTCATCTTCATCATCAAAAATTTCTGAGTCTGTTGGTGCATTTGTTGATGCAACGACTGATGATTTTCCAACTTCGATATTGACTTCCGTCGAATTGTTCAAGTCCCATTCGCTTGCTTCATTTACTCGCACATCACGACTCACTATCACCAAAATTTAGCCTTCTTTTGAATTGAGGTTCTCGCATGCTTGCTGAGCACACATTTTTCACAAAATTTTCCTTCAAAGTCCATGTTGGGTAGCCCATGCACCATATTCTTCTTCGCTAACTCCTTTAGGTCGCTATGATGTAGGTGACCAAAGCGGAGATGCCACAGTGATGCCTTGTCTTCTACGTTGACTCGCAAACACTTTTCTCGTATGCTTCTTAAGTTCAGTTTGTACATCCGATTTCTTCCAATCTCGACTCGAGCAACCAAATGCCCTTGCTTATCCTTCAGGTGTAGTAGGCGGTTCTTTAAGAATATCGAGTAACCTTTCTCTGTGAGTTGCCCCATACTCAATATGTTGATCTTGAGGTTTGGTATGTAATAAACATCTTGGATTGATCCCATTACACCATCCTTTTGCAAGAAATGTATCGTACCTCGGCCTTTGACCTCCACCTTTGACGCATCTTCAAATGACACATGACCATCTTCAATCTTTTGTATCTCTTTGAATAGGTACTCGTGACCGCACATGTAGTTGCTTGCCCTTGAGTCGAGGTACCACAAGTGTCGTTGATGTTGTCTTCTTGAGCCATCAAGAGAAGACCTTCATTTGTTACGTCTTCCAGGGCTAGGTTGGTTGCTCCTTCCACCCTTTTTCCGGCTCGACAATCTTTTGCAACATGCCCCACTCTGCCACAATTGTAACATTTGTCGGAGTTACAATTATTTGCATAGTGACCATATTTTGGACATTTATAGCACTGAATGTTGGAATAAGTTGATTGACCGCCTCTTCCTTGACTGCGTCCTCTTCCACGCCAATTTTCTTGGCTCGACTATCTCTTCTCCTTATAATGTTCTTCATAACTGATGCCTTGACCAGCTCAACCATTTCTGCAAATTCCATGACCTCAACCTTGAATATTTTGAGAGTAGAGTACCTTTTCATCTTTTATTAATGCCTTGATTTGAAGTGCTTGATCGAGTGTTTCCTCCTTCTTCTTCTTACGTTGCTCGTGTGTCTTGAGAGAATCGGTGAGCTCATCGACCGTGAATGTCGCTAGGTCCTTTGACTGTTCTATTGCACATACAACATTCTCAAAAATATTGGTTAATGACCTCAAGATCTTCTCCACAACCCGCGTCTCGGGTAACATTTCTCCATTTCAATTTAGTTGGTTTACCATAGTCTGTACGCGCGTAATGTAGTCAGATACATTTTCTGACTCCTTCATCTTCATGCTCTCCAACTCGCCATGAAGAGTTTGGAGACACACTTGCTTGACTGGGTCGGTTCTTTTGAACACTTTTTCTAAAGTGTCTCACGCTTCTTTTGAAGTAGTTGCCCTGACAATCTTCTCAAAGCCCGACTCGTCAATGGCCCGGAACAGCATGAATAATGTTGCCTTATCCTTTGATCGCAATCCTTTTAACGCCTTGTTTTGTGCCGCCTTATAACCCATGGTTTCTTTTGGTTCTTCGAAACCTTATTCGACCACTTCCCATGCATCTTGAAAACAGAGAAGAGCTTTCATTTGGATGCTCCAATTTTCGTAGTTCGTCTTCGTTAGTTGCGGTAGTGGCATTTGACCCATCATATTTGCCATCGACTCTGATACCAATTTGTTAAAATAAAACTCACTAATTTGTAAAGTAATCTCACACACACTAACGATAGAATGCTTCGATGATGCTTTGTGAAAGTACTACTCGCGTACTTGTGAAGAAGATATCGAGAGAGGGGAGACAAGGAGACAAAGAACACTGATTTATCAAAAATATTTTCTATTGCTTTATATTTCTTTGCTCTCTGTTTTTGCTCTGACTTTACAGGAAAAGAATTAGGTATTTATAATTTTTCTAATATTGTGGTCAGAGAAACGCTCATAAACCCCTACCATCATTCCCTACAAAAGCTCTAGCCTTTCAAATTAACTTTCCTAACAAATTAACTCCATTTTGTTCTTTTAAGTTTATTTCAACATTTTTTACTTTATATTTATACATTTATTTTAATAATTTGACTTAACAAAAAAAATAAATTAATCATGTGAATTTTTTAAAAATTAACTTCGATAACAAAAATATTAGTTATTCATATGAAGTTTTGGCGATATTTCTGTACAAACCACCAACATAATTATTTGATTCTTATATATTTTATTTCTAGACATCTTATTCGAAGGTATCGTAGTCTGCTCAAGGCCATAGGCCATGTTAAGACTCAATTGTAATTTGGAAAAGTTCTGGGGTGAAAAGCTAAGACGAGTTAGTTTAAAAGGGAAAGTAAAATTCAAATTACTTTGTTGATCAAATATCTCAAGACAAGAACACTTGATTGAGATTCGAATCACTCCACAAGCAAGATTGATCATGTCAAGCTTGAATGATTCTAAACATGCATCCTAAACTACATACAATTGCAAAGAAATTTAACATTTGGTTAAAAGAACACTTAATTCTAATGATAAGTGTGAATGTTTGATTAATCCACCACATCTAAATGGTGTGAAAGTTATCTTATTTATAATCAAATGAATTACAAGGATATGGAAATAGTAATAAATGGAAATAAAATAAATAGAAAGATACGATAATAAGGCAAATATTAAACAATAATTTATTACTAAATATCCTTAACAATAAGAAATCACTCCAATGGAAAGTAAAATTCGGATTACCTTGTTGATCAAAGGTCCCAAGGCAATAACACTTGATTGAGATTCGAATCACTTCACAAGCAATATCAATCATATCAAGCTTGAATGATTCTAAACAGACAACCTAAACTACATATAATTACAAAGAAACTTATCCCTTGATTAAAGGAAAGTAAAAATGCTCATTTCATTACATTTTTCAAGTCTCCTCTATAAAGAAACTCTTAGACTCTCCATAAGTCATTTCAAGAGTTTGTAACCTTCATACTTTATGACCAT